TTTTTTTTGGGCCCGGGGTTTGGAGGTTTCCCCCCCCCCCCCCGCCCCCCCCCGCCCTTCTTCAGGAAGCCGACACACGCTAACGTATCGCACATGAGTACCCCCCCCCCCCCTCTGAACGAAAACCTCACGAAGCCGACACACCATACCTAACGTAATCGCACACCCCTTACACCGTCCGGTTGGTTGTCTGAATGAAGGTGCGGCCATTGCATGGAGCTAGAGCCCGAGTATGCGAGGGCCGCCAAGGAACTGGAGAAGGACGGGTTGCTGCTCGGGAAGGTGAAGACTATTGTTAGTTTTTCTTGGTCCTGTTTCTTCTGTATGCATAGACGGAAGTGTTTTTTTTCTTTTTTTCTTCATTGAAATCAAATGGCTAATTTTAATCTTTAGTGAGGGAGAACGATTTTTTTGTTGTTCTTTCCTTGCTTTTAAGCGGAGACAAAAGAGTCAATTGATTGTTCAACCCAGAGGAAAACGATCGTTTTCTGTCTTCTAACGAAAAAAAGAAGAAAGTCTTTTTTTTGGTTCATTGAACCGAGGGGCAACGGCAAAGCGATAAGCAGCGGTAGACGAAAAACAACTAATAAAACTTCAAAACCGGTATAACGGTTGCAGGTGGACTGCGACGCTAACGAGGAGCTCTGCGACGAGGACCGCTGGGACATAGAGGGGTTCCCCACGATCAAGGTGTTAAGGGGCGGGGTAGGCGGGCCCATCCACGACTACGTCGGGCCTAGGTCTGCGGCGGACATGACGGCGTTCATGCGGCAGGTGAGGAAACGAATGGGCGTGGGTTGTCGTCCTTGTCGTAGTCATAGTCGAACGTCTAGATCTTATAAGATTTCGCCAGGTTATTGGTACTATTATTCTTTCTTGTAGTTCGATGTTTATGGCACTACTGTTGTTGTTGTACCTTTTACGTTCTGGCAGTGTCTCTTGTTGTATGTTGTATGTTTTTGGCTTCGGTTGCCACCACACACACGTAAAAAGAATCCGTTTTTTTTTGTTTGGACGAGGCCCCCTGTCACCGCAGGTGGGCCTACCTTCCTCCTTGATAAGCTGCCTCGCTGAATTAAGCGCGGCATCACATCCAGGGAAAGGACGAAACGGTTGGGGTGCAAACTGGAGTAAAATTCAAGCATTTTGTTGGGCGTGTGGCATGGTCTCTTGTTTTTCGAGGGCAATGTCTCTTTTTTTATTGCGACGTCTCTTTTTTTTTATTGCGGTGTCTCTTTCGTTTTTTCCGACGTCTCTCTTTTTTTTCTGTTGACCATGTCTCGTTTGTTTATTTATTGCGATGTCTCTTTTTTTTTTTTGTGCAGTCTTTTTTGTTGTTGTTGCGATGTCTTGACGTTTTCCACGCTCTTTCAGAGGGAAACATACAGGGAATACTCGAGAGGCCTCGTTGGTTCCTTTGTAGTTTCGGGTGGAGGTGAGCTGGGGATGGGTACGTGCCAAACCTGTTTGGTGCCAATCTGTCGGCCCCCCGATCTTGCGAGCTTGGCTATGGTTTTGGTGTTTTGCAGGTGGCCGCCTTCCCCCACCCCGATGATGATGACGATGATGACGACGATGACGAGGGCGATTTCTATGAGGATGAGGATGACGGCGATGCGGTAGGCTATGTTGTTGTTGTTGTTGATGATGATGATGATGATGATGATGTTGTTGTTGATGACGATGTTGTTGTTGTTGTTGTTGTTGATGACGATGACGATGTTGTTGTTGTTGTTGATGATGGTGATGATGATGATGATGATGATTATGATGATGATGATGATGATGACGATGTTGTTTTTGTTGCTGTTGATGAGTATGTTGTGCCATATTGACGACAACTTTGATTCGGAAAATGGCGACGATTCGTAAGCTCTAGTTCTCGGTCATGATGATTGTGCCGTGTTGTGATGTGGTCGACGTTGTTGACCTCCTCTGTTTTTCTGTGCGACGCCCTCCAAATTCTGGCGGTGCTGTGCTGTTGCTCTTTTTATAAAAGGCCTTTCGTTTGATTTTGAGGTCGTCCTTTCGCACTGTGTTTTATTGCGGCCATTCTAGGTATTTCGCTAACGGCGCAAAGCCCCCCCCCCCGATTCCCGATATCACGGGGCTTCGCGCTTGGTGATGTGAGAGCCTGGTCCGGTGAGAACCCGGCGAGCTCCGTCCCGGCTTTGTAGGGATGCGAGGTCAATGGTCTATAACGACTACGGCATGCACAACTATGAGTGCCCCCCCACCCCCACACCCCCTTCCGGATAATCCAAGGACGCATGGTCAACGGTCTATCCGCTATGGCATGCAAAACATAAGAGTACCCCCTCCCTCCCTCCTCCTCCCGGCAATAACGGTCTGGTTTCACAGTACCGCCTTGTGGAGGAGGAAGGCGTTTTGGTGCTAGGGGCCCACGATTTCGAGAGGGCCACCGACCACTTCATGATGATGCTGGTGCTGCTCTACACCCCCGGCTGCGAGGGCTGCGACGCTGTGATGGAGGAGTACATCGAGGCGTCGGACGAGCTTTACGAGCACCTTGTTCCCGTGGCTAAGGTACTGTATGTACAGGGGTCGGCTTGAAGTATGCGTAGCGTCCGACGGCCTTCACGAGCACCTTGATATTCCCGTGGATAGAGCACGCGCAGGACCGGTTTGAAGGTCTGCGTCGCGTCCGATGGCTTTGACGAGCACGTCGGTATTCCCGTGGCTATCGCATGTGCATGGGTCGGCTTGAAGGTGTACGTGGCGTCCGACGGCCTTCACGAGCACCTTAGTGTTCCCGTGGCTAATGAATGCCTAGGGTCGGCTTGAAGGTGTACGTGGCGTCCGACGGCCTTCACGAGCACCTTAGTATTCCCGTGGCTAATGAATGCCTAGGGTCGGCTTGAAGGTTTGCGTGCCGTCCGATGGCTTTACGAGCACCTTACCTTATTCCCGTGGCTAAGGTATGCGCAGGGTCGGCCGAGGTAGGCGTTTGCAGCAGGGGTGTGCGCAGGGTAGAGTAGCGGCTGACGAGTTTCACGAGCGCCTTACATTCGTGGCTAAGGTATTCGGCTGAGGTAGGTATGCCCAAGGTGGTGGTGGGTATATCGTATACCAGGAGCAGCTTGGGGCGACCACCGATCCGTAGGGGTTTTCCTTGCATGCCTCTGAGAAAGGGTCGATCGTCAAGGAAACGGGAGTACAGAAGTTGTGCCATTTCCTGGAGGTATCGTCCGGCGAATCCTTGTTCTCGACGGGCCGCCGTTTCCTTGGGCACGAGGACGATGCTTGCTCTCTTCTTGCACCCGACCTCGAGAGGCCCACCGTTTTTCTTTTCTCGGACACGGACGGTGCTTGCTCGCTCTCCTGCTTGTTGTTGCCGACGGCGGCAGGTGGACTGCTTCCTGCAGGCGGAGCTGTGCCAGCAGCCCCAGTGGAGCGAGGCCGCCTCAGCAGCTGCCGCCGCCGCCGGCGGAGGCAACGACACCGCCACACCTCCGGCGGATGGTGTCGTCGTCGTGGATGGAAAGACGCCGATGCTATTCGTCATTCGGAAGGGGGAGGTATTCGGCTACGACGGGGACGCGGCCGCCTCGAGCGCTGCCGAGATGGTGCAGTTCGTGAGGGTTGTGGCCGAGATCGGCGGGGAGGCTCTCGCTGACGATGAGGATGAGGATGAGGAGGAGGATGACGGTTTGGGCGACGACAACTACGGGGATGGTGATGAGGTGGGGGTGTGTTGTGTTGTGTGGTGTTGTGTCGGCATCGGCCGAGCTATCCGGCTGACCAATGAAAATGCGTCAAGTCTCGGACCGGGATGGTGTGCGTTTGTGTGTGTGTGTTTTTGTGAAATAGCATCGACCGCGCTAACCGGCTGACCAATGAAAATACGTCAAGTCTTGGAGCGGGAGTTTGTGTGTTTGTTTGTGAAAAGAGCATAGACCGCGCTAGCCGGCTGACCAGTGAAAATGCTCCAGTCTTGGAGCGGGATGGCGTGCGTGTGTGTGTTTTTTTTTGTGAAATAGCTCGATCGCGCTCACCGGCTGATGAATGAACCCGCGTCAGTCTTCCCGCAGTGGGCTAAGAGAGCGCGATGATCTCTGTCCGGCCTGTCGGAGAGTGAACACGCCGCTCGCTTTATTCGACACCGTCCCCGTCCACCTCCTCGGCGCATGGAGCAAGAGTCGACGCAGCGCAGCTTCGTGTTTCGATGCGCTACATATGCTGCGTCTCGGGCGGCACTTTCTCACCGCGGATAATTAATTCTACCGCAGGCATTGACGGCAAACCCGTCGCTCTCTCCGTTCCCCCCGGCATCATCGTCATCATCGCCAGGTGGACGAGAGCAGCGTGCTGGTGCTGGACGAGTCGAACATCGACCAGGCGCTCGAGGACGCCGACGGCGGGGGCGGCGGCGCCCTCCTGCTGGAGTTCTTCGCCCCCTGGTGCGGGAACTGCAACCGGCTCCGGCCGCGCTACGCCCGCGCTGCCGACGCGCTGAAGAAGGAAGGGAGCCCCGCTCGTCTCGCAAAGGTGTGTGTGTGTGTGTGTGTTTGTTTGTTGTGGTTGGTTGATGTTGTTGTTATTGTTGTTGTTGTTGGTGGTGGTGGTGGTGGGCTGTTGCTGGTATTGTTGTTGTTGTTGTTGTTGGTGGTGGTGGTGGTGGTGGTGGTGGGCTGTTGCTGGTATTGTTGTTGTGTTTGTTGTCGCTACTGCTGTCGTTGTCGTTGTTGCTGCTGCTGTTGTAAGGTTGCCCGCCCCCCCTCAGCCGCAGTGCAGATGCCTCTTTCTCTGGTAAGAGCGGGCGTAAACATTTGTTGGGTGGTCTTTGTTGTCGCTCTTATTCTCTGCCTGCCTTTTGGCCTGTCTGTCCTTCCGCCGGTACCACTTCTGACTTCTGACGTGTCCACGTCCCCGTCTACGTCCTGTCTTCGCCTACACGAACCATTAGAAGAACAGCAACTGAGATAAATCAAATCAAACACGCGCGCTGTTTCTTCAAATAGTTTTTGAACTTCTCAACCTTTTATTTGTTTACACGTACCCCCCCAACCCGTTGATTCGAATGAGTGCATGCATGAACTCAGGACGATAGACGACCGACCAAGGCTTTGCGCCGTTTTCTTGATCGCGCATCGTCTTTTCCCCCGTCATGCGTCTTTGCCCCCCGCCATCTCGCGCGTCTTGCTTGCAACTCTGTCCCCCCACCTTTTCCCCGAAAAGATCGACTGCACAACGAACGAAGACTTGTGCGCCAGCGAGCCGTGGCAAATCACCAAGTACCCGACGATAATGCTGAGGAGGTTCGGCGAGCTGTACGAGTACGACCAGGCCCGCGAGGCGAGGGAGCTCGTGCGGTACATGAGGAAGGCCGCGGAGCCGGCGCCCAAAGTGAGAAGAGAGAGGTTTTTGCTCATTGCTAACTCTATCGCAGGCTCTTTTCCATCCGTGAAAGGAGATGGTAAGTTGTATTGTATGTAAGTACGAAGAGCTACAACGGCACGTGTTGACATGAGTGCAATCCCCCCGGCGCTGTATCTGGTTCCACTCGAACAATTCTCCCTAACGTACCGCCCTTTTTCAATACACGGAACCGCCCCCCCCCCCCCCA